ATTCTTTGAAGTAGTTTCCCTGTGCTTTGTGATATCTTTACTAAATAACAGTGGGAATGAAGTTGAACTTTGAAAGCGTCTTTGAAATTCACAGCTGGAAAAAGGCTTTAGTTCCTGAGGCTGGAAGCATTTAAAAGGCTTGCTTTTCGGTGCACAGGGCTGCAGATACACTGCAGTCTACATGCTCAGTCTGCTTTGCAGTCCTCAAGTTAAAGATAGATGGCTGTTTGACCTGTGTGTGCTGTATATGCACAGGGAAACTGTAAATATCTGGTAAAGCACATTTCCCATGTTATACCATTAAAACTCACAGACTACCCTCTGGGCTCTGAAGCACTTTATCAGCAGACTAGACTGCAATTCAAGGATGTCTGCACTCTGCACTCTAGACTGAAGCTGTGACTAGACTCAAAAATGTGCTGCAAGACTGAGGTGGATTTTTAATGTGTACAAGCATTTTCTCCAGACTAGCAAATTACATTTCCAATTTGCATGCAGGAGTATGCTAATGTGGACGAGCTTATCATCCAGTGGGGGAGAGCACTCAGTGCCACCTCGTGCCCGTTGCTTCCAGGCCAGACTGGCTTGCTGTGGCCCCCATCAGGAAGAGAGCGATCTGGTGATGGACTGCTGGTCTGTGACGTGATTGGACGTGTGCCCGTGCTTTGCAGACGTGCATGCCTTGGTGCTCCGATCCCTTTGTAAGCAGATTCCACACAGATTATTAGGTCTGAAGATGCAGGGTCTAGTGATGGATGACTGTGCCTAGCCAAGTTAGATTATGCTGCGTCTCTTGTGCGTGACTCTTTCATCAGCCCTCCCTGGGGACCAGCCTGCCTTGCCCCGTGCTGCAGCGCCATGGAGCTGTCGGTTTCACGCCGCTGTGATGTCATCGAGGTGCTGCGATTGGGTTAGTTTGCCTTTAACAAAGAGCGGTCTCCCCCCACCCACCCCCCACCCCCCCCAGGACTGGAGCGGGTTAAGAGTGTGAATTGATTAAAAAAAAATGATACTGGGCTGTAGGTTGTGGTGCTCTCATGTTCAGTAACCGAAGAGAGCCCAGGGCACACGCGAGTTCTGCTGTTCCTTTGTGGGAAGTTCAATAAGAACGGAGTCGGCGCATCATCGGGTTTGGGGAAATATTACTCCAAATATTTTTTCTTGCTCCCTGAGTTCAGTGTCGCAGCTCCTTTCTTAATTCATATCACAACTTTGTCTTCATTAGCAGGTAAAATTCTTTTATGATCCGATCGTCTTTCTGAAGACCATCACTGCCTGGCCTGGGGTCTGCTTTCAGTCTCGTATAGCAGTTTCATAAAAAAAATTAGAAAACTGTGTAAAATAAAACCAATACTAAGATTTCTCTTAACGTCAAGCCTGTGATACTCATTTAACCCAGTGTTGACAGGTCCTGTTTAACTGGAGCCATTCATAGTCTCCACTTCATTGACTTTTGCTGATGTTTCTTCTTAATTAGTTTTTTTCTTTTATTAAGGCCTTGTGGGTGTGCCTCATTCAGTTCATGTGGCCTGAATTGATGTTGGTGATGTCATTAGAAAACTTACATTTAGGGAAAACTACTTCGATTAGGGCAGAGCCTGGGGGCCGTTAATGACTTTAGAGAGAAGTGTGACGGGGGAAATCCTGGGGGAACTATCACATAACTAATGTTGTGAAAAATGTGAGTAAATTAGTGTGCTGCTAATGAACCACCGAGAATTGCTTTAATACCTTTATTGTTTTAGCTCTGCTCGTATCTATCTGTTTCCATGTGCAACCTGCCCACTGTTTTCAGCACAAATAATAGGGTTTAAAAAGATAACCTTCTTGTAGTAGCTGAAACCTGTACGTTCAGGAAAATTTGCAGACAGATTTGATTTCTGGAAACCAGGCTTTGATGAGATCAGTTTAGGTGTCTGTCACCTGAGTAATGTATTAGCAGTGCACTAAAATGTCGAAGGTGGCTGACTTCCTGATTCTGTAAGGATGGTAGAAAAAGGTGATGATCAGTTTCTATTGAAGCTGACAAGGTGACTTTTTGTTCTTAACAACACGGCGGATAGCAGTCGTATGATGCTGACCTAGTTCTTTTAGTGTTGGGCACTGTTATTTGTGATAAACGTTATTGCACAAGTAGCTTGAACGGCAACAGCATCAAGCCTTCAAAGCCTCAATTTCTGCAGTGCATTCTTAGCACAAGAATAAATGTTGTATTACTCAGCTCTTGAACTCTTCGTTTCGAAATGGCCTTTTCTTTCTCTGGCTTTGTTTTGTCAGAGAAATTACCTCTCTGCCTTCAAATGCCGGTGCATCCCGACAGCAAAATTAGCTGACCTTTCACATCTATCTCCCCGTCTTAATCTCTGCACAGTGATCCACAGCAACACGCTTTCCTCCCTCGTGGGCTTCCTCCTGCCCTGCTGGTGCCCAGAAGGGTGATCGCTCCTTAGATCTGGCTTCCCGACAAAACAGATAAAGCAGCTTGTAGGCGGAGTGCCAGAGGAATATAGAGAAGCAGAAATCATTACAAAATAAAAATCCTGTGCCAGGTCAACTCTTCGAGTGGGAACTCTTAGGAAGATAAATTTAACCGTCTTAAACGGAGGGTTAAAACCGTATAAACATCTGGAGACTTCACATTCTGCATGTACTTTGTGTTTGAAAAAAAAAACTATGCAGTATATCAAATACTATCAGGACGAATGATCATTTGTGTTATAACGCCTGCTATAGTCAATGCTAGGATAGCATATAGACCATATACTGAAAGCAGGTAGTGTGTGGAGCCAGAGGTGCTGGGGTCCCAGCTGTGTGTTCAGATGGAGTGGGACTCGAGGGGGAGGCGAGTGCCCGCCTCCCTGCCTGTGCTGGGTTCGGTCCCGGGAGCACAGCTCCGCTCCCCAGACAGCGGACTCCCAGCAGTAAACCAGTGCAGGCGTGGCCCTCCCGCTGCCTCTCAGAGGGTGGTGGACTTCTGCGGATCGCTGGCACCCCCACACCACGGACTCCCCGTGCGTTTCGGAGAGGGGGGGAGGGTGTCTGTGGAGAGCCCGAGGGCCTCGCAGACGTTGTCTGCCGTCTTTCTGCATCGGGCGTCTCGGCTGGTCGTGCTTCAGGTCTAGCCCTTACTTTACCAGCAGGTTGTATGGGCTGGGTTGTTGCACAACAGTGTTGCAGGCGGTCGCTGGGCCTGGGACTGCTCTCTGCCCTTTTTGCCAGTTCGGTCTCGGTCCCGATCAGCTCGCAGACAGCGGAGAACCCCTCCTGGGTGAGACGTGCTTCTGCGGCTGTCTCCTCAGTGCCACACTGGCACAAACCCATAATTAGTTCTGCCTTAGGAACAAAAGATGTCGAAGGCAGGCATTTCCTGTGCCTTGGCATGCATGTTCATTAAGTTAGCAACATTTCTGTAAAGGGGTTTTAAAAGTCCCACTTATTCAAATGTTAATGGCCTGATAGCACACGAAATGTCAATTTTCTGGAGCATTGCTATTGTGCTTCACTGACTTTTTTTTTTTACTGCAGAACTCCCTCAGATTCCAGCTGGAAAGAAGGCAGCTTTAAAAAAAAGTTTGTCTCTTGATTGTTGTACTATTTTTAGAAAGTCTTCTCATTGTTTTAAGGCAAAGGTTGTCTTCATCGTCTGTCTTCATCCAGATCCGCTTGTGTTATCATGTGCGAGCTGGGTTAGGCCTGTGGACCTGACAGGGTGCCATGGTTGTCCGTTCCAGGGTTAACCCGGAGAAGCTGATCAACGTGCAGCAGAAACTGCAGGCTTTCCTGGCGCAGGAGACGGAGCAGAAGGAAAGAGCGCAAAGGGTGAGCCGCTTACCGCCGGAGGAGCCAACGTTCTCCAGGGGCTGTAGTCCCCCCCACCTCCTCTTACCGCTCAGGGCTCACCGTCGTGTGCACGGCCCGGGCTGCAGGGGGCGACGGCTCTCCCCCAGCGCCCGGCCTCCTCTGGAGCGCAGCTGAGCCTCTCTAGGCCCCCCCAAGCACCGGCTGTCTTTTCTGTCTCTTGGATCAGGCAGTCTAGCCCAGCGAAACTGGCAAGCAATTCCCCTGGCCCTCCTCTAAAGCCTAGAAATCCACACCTGAGAAGGGTACGCCAGGGAAACATCTTTCTTGGCTGTGAAAGGTGCAGCTCTTTTTTCATGCTGAGTGTTTTGACATCTTTGCTGCGGCTGTAAGAAACGTCCTGTAACCCAGCTGTGTGTACATACAAGTATGCAATTTAGTAACACCTCCGTAATCTGTTTGTTAAACCTCTGTAATCATCCTGTGTTCATAACATGAATAATATTAATTGCGTCTTTAAAATTCTATTTTAAATAATAGCAACAAGAAATTAAATTAAGGCATTGCCAAACTTTATTTCTGCGGAAGTCGAGCCAAATAGTCAAACGGATTCTTTAATGGTTTCTACAGCTTATTATGCTGGATTTTACACTGCAGTTGTTCAACAATAAAAATGTCTTCTGAGGTTTTATTTTTTTAAAGTCCTTGATAGAGGACTTAGTGCCAAGTATTTCCACCCGGACTCCTTTTTCTGGCAAGGCTTGCAGATTTCCTGTTTGAGTGAGTAAAAATAATGCTAATATTTGTAGGTGTGGTATTTTCATTCAGTTCCAGTGAGTGTCACCTGCTAGACAGGCTGACCTCGTCTTTTCATGGGCTGCTCTTACTTTAGCTGTAGGACACTTAACACTCACCGCAGGCAATTATCTCTCAGCTAATGATCCCTCTGTGTGCCGTTACAATGCTTAATTAACACTATTAATTCTCTCTCTCATTTAGGGCAGAGTCAAATCGAATTCCGGTTTGAACAAATTCTGCCTTGAGGCTAAACAATTAGGTGCAGTGTAATAGTTAATTGAGGACTTTTTCCAAATCATTTTTTAGAGGTGGAAGCAGAACTCACTTGGTTATCGTATGGTCTCTGAGACCCCTGGCACAGAGTTTGCTACTGGGCGATGGCGTGAAGATAAGCGCTCATTGCCCTGAGGTGTCACCACATGGACACGTCCCACGGCTGCAGGCTGTCAGTACTAAGTGGGGAGCCCCGTCACGGCTCAGGCCTGACCGACGCTGCAGACTGTCCTTTCTGAGTACGGCTTGGACAGCCGGCTGCCTGTCCAGTATAGCCCGATAAACCAGCAGCCAAGACATCTCTGCGTGTATGAGCTTTCGATGGTCACCGAATTCCTTCTTTCTTGAAAAACATCGGCCTCCTTAAAAGTCTTGTGACCTGTTCTGCAGCAGACGCCTTAAAATAAGCTGCTGTGGGGTTTTGTTTTTCCAAACTGTGGGTTTTCCTGCCTCGGAAAAAACCGACCCCCACCTTAGTTTGATCAGCTGCTGTATATTTTCTTGGGGGGATCATTGCTGTCTTAACCCTGAGCTGTGGATGCTGTAAAGCCAGTGACCCAGAGCTCGCTCAGTCTCACCTGACACTGCCTTTTTAAAATATAAGGGCTTTCGAAAGCATTTTTGTGTCTGTACATAACGAAAAAATCTCCCAGGCCCACTTGAGATTCCCGGTCATGTTTTATTGAGACTTAAAGGCCTCCCGTGCTCTCGTGCAGTATTGGCTGACAGACCGTAAGCCTCAAAATAGAAGCTGGGAGCAGGTGAAGCTGCCTGGCAAATAACAGAGAGGAAAATTGAACAGCATGTTTGTAACAAGGCCATCAAAACACTGTCACACTGAAGTAATGAATATCCAGTCTGAGTACTTTGTGGGTCTCCTGAAAAGACGCTACACAGTCCTGTCACAAAAGGGAGGGGTCAGTAACTCACATTAAGTTGGTTTTTGATTTCAGTGCTTTGTTTCCTACCTCCGCTCCATTTACCTGATGAAGAACAAGGACGTCTTCGACGTGTTCGCGCTGCAGTTGTCCGAATACGCTCTGTAAGTATATCCCTCTGGGATCTGCTGCTGAATCGGTGAGAGACAGTGTTCTGAATCGTTTCAGTGCTCGGCAGGTCAGAATGGTCTCTGGAAGAGCTGGGGCGGCATGAGCGAGCTCTGGGTTTAAGGAGAAGTAGCTGTCGTGTGGAGTGGGGGAGCCGATTCTGCCCACTCAGTGGCTGTGTTTGTACTGCAGTGTGACAGCTCCCATGGCATCCTTCAGACAGGCAGGGGAGTCCTTTACCACTGCATCTCCACCACTTATTCAGACTTCTAAAAATACATGGTCCCTGAGGCACTTACATATTTATCTGCTACAAGTAAAGGGATCTGTTTTCATCGATGGAGTGACTTCTTTGTTAAGAAATCTGTAACTCGGTGCATTTACCGTGGTCAGTGATACTCGGTACTGTTTGTATCTGTGGTGGCTGTGTTACTAGAGATGTTTCAAGCGTCCTGACTTTGCAGTGTGGGAGAATTCCAATGCGTAGGTGCTGAGAGAGAATCATGCCTCTGCCAATTGCATGCTCAGTATGTGTTACAAAACAAAACCGCTTAAATTATAGTCACACAAGGCAAACAAACAAATATAATAGCTCTTGGAGATTCCTCCTAATATAAGAGTAGTAAGTCATCCACTAGGTTGTATCTGAAGATACAAGGTTTAAAACCAGTGTTCGCTCTTGCAAAAGCTGGGAGATGAGCTGGACTCCCTGGTGGACAGCCAGGGCTGCTGGTCATTGGTCGCTCTGTTCAGACTCGCCCCTAGCTACAGTGCACCTGTGGGCCAGGTCTGGCCGAACTGTCCTGAGCTGGACTGACGGAGGCGTTCCAGTTCCTCCTCCCTCCCCCGCCTGTCTCCGGAGACCACCTTCGCTCCTTGGGAAGATCCTAGGTCCTGCGAGTGAAGCATGGGTTGCCCGGAGGGGTGGAGACTGGCCCGCGTCAGGGGAGCTGGGGTGCAATAGGCTGCCCGATGCCCTGGTGTGAAAGGGCATCACTCTTCCAAATGGACCTGCGGACCGTTCTCTGCTGTAAACATAGGAAATGCTTTCACTAAATGTGAGAAACCTGAAACTATCTTTTTCTGCATTTAAGGGGTTTTCACATAAGTTGACTACTCTCTTTTTATATTTTGAAAATGATCTGGGGATGTTGGGTATAAAGTTCTAATACCTGAAGCACATTCTATTTTTAGCTTAAACTGAAAATAGCTTCTGTTGCTGCCATTGCACTTGGCACATTTGGTCATTTTTTTCTGGTTAATACAGGACCCTCTTAAAGAACTCCATGGGGTTGTTATGGGTTGTGATTTAATATACAAGTATTTCTGCTTTTCTTTCGTATACGAGCTGCGGAAGGCCATTAACTGTTAGAGACCTCATCACCACTAGCTGATGCAGTTTTCCCAGGGATAGCGAAGAATGCTTTAGCTTAATTGGGTATCAAATCACTTTACACGAACAAATCCCACTGCTGTGAAGAAGTATAAAATATTTTGGTGGCTTCGGTTTCTGTTTTCTTAAAGCCAGCCTTTGTGTTGCTAGGTGACTATTGGAGCAGTTTTGAATGCTTGTTTGAGCATTTAAATCCATGTTTCTCTGCCTTTTTTCAAGTGACTTATGTTCATTGTGAAAGCTCAGTGTGACTGTACCCCTGTGGAAGACTGTCTGCCACTCCTAGATGTGTCTGGACATGTGGACATGTTGCGTCTCTGAGACCCGGTCACAGGCCTGTGCTCGTTTCAGTAGCTGGAACACATTGGAGAAGCACTCACACTGTTTTTCCCACTCTTCCCGTCCACAGCTCCTTAGGCCTGGCTGTGGCTCCTCGAGTCCGATTCCTTAACAAAGCCAAGAAGGATAGAGAAGGAGACTTGGCCGGACTGTCCACCCACCCGAACAGCAGGGAGGAAGACGAGTCCAGCACCGAGGAAGAGCTGGAGAGCTTCAGAGCTCAACTTAGAGGGCAGAGTCCCACAGGTGACCGTGGGGTGCCCTCAGCCAGGGGAGGGGTCTCCCAACACACAGTGCCCGGTCCTGCTGGAGGGCCGCGTGGACAGGGGGAGGAAGACTCTGCAGATACGGAGCAGGGTGAGACCGCCGAGGCCTCGGAGCTGATGTTCTCGGCAGATGCGGACGAGGAAGACGATCTGAGAGACCTGGACTTGCTCACCGTTAAAAGGAAGGACGTTTTTGCTTTGGAAGCTGACACACAGGAGGTAGGTCTAACACCTTTCAGGTCTTGGCCTTTTTCTTTTAAGTTCGAAATCATGGGTGTGAACTGGATTTAAGTGCTGTCCCGGACGGGCTGACAAATGCTTCGGCTGGTTTCATCTTTAAATTTGTTGGCAGCAATTTGGAGGCACTGGGTTAGAGCCTTCTGGAGCAAGGCTCGAACGTACAGCTGTCCTTGTTAGGGCTTGCAGGGAGGTTAATGCAGGGCCTGCAGAAAACAAAGTTGGGATTCTGCGTCCAGTCTGCGCTTGTTAGCTGCTTGTCTTGATTTGAGTGATGCACCTGTACCGCTGTCCTCTGCCACGAGCAATAAGGACTGTGATGTGCAGGATGAAGGAAACAGGTAGCTTGAGACGATTGCCCTGATGTGCTTTATAGCACATTACCTTTGAGAACCCCACCCTCTGTCTGACTGTTAACGTTTTGAAGAAAACAAATGTTTTTTTTAAGGATTTAGGATTGTCGCTGTTAATAAACAAGTCTGTTCACAGGCAAACACGCTGACTAGCTGGTACTTCAGGAAACTCGTGTGCTTTAGTGTATGATTCCATTAATACACCTACCCAGCTGCTGTTACAGTAAATCACTTCCATGATGACAGGAGTGCTGCTGGAAATCTAGTATTCACAAGGTTAGTGAAACATTCAAGACTTTATGAATACGTTTTAAAGGCTTCTGAGCTGCTTTTAGGAAAAGCACATGAAAAGGCCGCATTGCAAGGTTTATCTAAAAAATAACAGTGTGGGACAGTTTAATCTTTATGTAACGGGGTATTAGTCCGGAAGAGGTAGCCTCTTCTGATGCAGCTGTAGAAACAGATGGATCGTCACTATTCTTGGAGTGGGAATGTCTTCAACCATCATGGTACATTGGAAAAGCATCTTAAGTTCCAAGGCACTTTGTTTTCTGGATGCATTTTCTGAAGTTCGTTGTATGCCAGAAAACTCATAAATCCGATTACATTTTTTGTTATGAGACAGGAGCTCACTGCGTATTTGGCTTCTGCTTCTTGATGCAGATTGATTCTGCGTTGTGGAATAAAGATAGCTGAATTCTTGCCTGGCTGACTTTCAGACAGCCTTTGTATACAAAATTATGCGTCTTAATTTTCTTTATGCAACGTGTAATGAGGATTCATCTAGCTCACATACATCACTGCTGGAATTTCAATTGTGTAATTCAGTTATTTGCAATCTTCCATAAAAAGGGGAGAGAGTCGTTCATAATCGTAACGTTAATCAGATTTACTGTGCTGTTCCTCAGGAGTGTTGGCAGGGGCTTGTTTATAGATTAACTTTAGACATGGGTAATCTGTCTAACGCTCGTGGTTAAATGTACCATGAATCCACGCTTGTGGCTCCTGGTGGATGACCACTGGAGTTTGGCAGAAACCAGCCCTGCCTTCTAGTCTCTGTAAGGGGCCTATATATGGTCAGAAATGAGCAACCAGCCTTGAGGAGAGATGCTCGCTGGCGTTGCGGTGAACCTTCGGGCTCACTGCCTTTCTGCGCGTTTCTCATGACCGCGCCTTGTCTGACGCTTGAGGTAAGCGGAGCGAGGGAGAAAGAGGGCCGCATGACGAAAGGCCCTTTGCTCACACCGTCTTGTTTGCTTGTGTGTGCAAGCGGAGTTAAGAATGAATGCTGCAGAAGGGCTGAGCTGTTTTTCCTTCTTTTTTGATGTTGCCTATATGCTGTAGTGCACAGACGGGGCCCCAGTCCAAGAGGGAAGAATAGCGCAGCGGTCGGCCCAGCTGAACACATTCTCTCTCCCCGTGGCGCCAGAGCAGAGCTCAGCGCATATTCAAGGGTCACAGCACTTAAATACAGAAGCACCTGTCTGGTTCCACAGCAGGCCTACCACACGAGTTGTGCCTCAGAGAGGAGTTGCAGAGGTGCGTTACAAGAGGCCCCTGAAGTCTCGGGCGTTTGAGCAGGTTTTCAGTTCCACTCCTCCGAAAGTTGCTCGAGCACGCCGTTCTCTATTTGGGGGGGGGGATTGGGGAGGGGGAAGGTCGTCTTGCCTCCTTTTCCAGCTGTTCTGCTGTTACCCAGCTGTGGTGTGCTGTGCAAGTGCAAACTGGCTGCCAGGTGTTTCTGTGCTTCAGCTTGTGCTTGTTGGTTCTGACTGAAGGCGTCCTGTTAAAGGTGCCCAGGTCTTCTAAAATGTTGATTTGATTATGGGAGTCTTAGCCAGACGTTAAGGAGCAGCTGGTAAGGTGTGAAAACAGTGCCTGACTCTTGAATAGTTCAAAGCTGGGTACGTGTTGGTAGCCTGTTATTAGTTTACCTTCTTCCAGACTAGTTCTACAGATGGTACGCGCTTGGGCTTCTAAGGCAGTGATGCTCGTTTTGCAGACTGGGCACGCAGGCAGTCCTCTGCTCCACGCGTGTGGAGCCCGGACTGTGGACCACGCCGAAGGAGAGTGTCCAATGCTCTTCAAGCACGTGCAGTGTTTTTTTTTTTCCTACCGCGCCTCCTTTTCATTCGAAAATAAACCACTAATTGTAGTCGTTCATTTTTTTTTTTTTAAATCTCATCGGGAATTCTCTGGCATGCTGGCACAGTTCCCAGTGGGACTGTACTGGACAGAAAGGTGCGGTTTTCCAGTGTGCTGACCCGGAGGCGCTCATGAAATGTGCTGTGTCCCACAGCTGAGGTGCCTCATGTGAGGGCGCTGGTCAGGGAGGCCTTGCAAAGCGTAGGGGCCTCTTCCCGACGCAAGGCTGGGGAGACTGTTCGCACATCTACACGGGACATGTCCTCCTGCTCCTTGGCCAGTTTGTGAAGTTTCTGGGACATTTCTCTCAATGAGAAATAACAATCCCAGGTTTCCTTCCATGTGGTTTCACAACTGGACGAGTGCTGCTGGACTTGGGTGTGGTATCGTGCCCCGATACTTGCACATCGTGTGTGTTCTTCTGCCTGTATTTGGAGCACGCCGGGGTGAAAAATGCTATATCGGCGAAAGGAATTGATCTCTTCCTCTGTCGAGGCCAACTTGTCCTGTACAGGAGCCAGCAGGTTTGCAGTGTGAAAGCTGCTCTCCTGGCCTCACAAGTCGGCTCATCTGCCTTGTGAACAGGTACCGCTTGTGCTGTAACTCCACCCCCAGTGTCCCAGTGGTGAAATGTCTCTGCAGCTGCTGGCAGGACCTCCTGTCTAAGGGGCCAGGTGTGATAAAATGCAGTAGCGGTCTTCACTGTCCTTTAACCCGTTTGCGTTCACAAATCCTGCCATGTTTTCTTATCGCCACTGCGATAATTGTTTTCCTTTTCGACGATAAAGCCTCTGCATTTCTCCTCGACTTGCAGCTCGCCGCTATCTCGCCTCGACAGTGCCCGCAGTAATCCTATTCTCCCAGAGGAATCACGAGAGATTAATCCGTGTTGAGTCTTCACGTCTGACGAAAGTGATTCGTACCGAAGTGAGGATCGTGCCTGGGAGGCCATTAAAATGTATTAGAGGCAGTCAGACGGCTCCCAGGGTGGTCATGAAGACATGACTCCGTATCCTCTCCCATCTGTTCACTTGAGGTTCTGACAAGGGACTCCCCAGTGAAAGAACCCGTCAGCATTTCTGCTTCGATTCTGTGTGCAGCTGGGTCTTTCTGCAGAGCTGAAATAATGGGAAAACAGGCCTGATGGATGCTGGTGCAAAGTCTTGAAACCCTTCACATTTCATGTTCCGTTTTCTCAAGTCTTCCAGCTGCCAGGAGTTTAGCTCATTTTATGTGAGAAACTCCAATGCTCTGCTTGCATTGCTTTCTGTTAGGAATCGATCATCCCCTGTATAAACCTTTTGGCGCGTTCAGACAGTTCAGTACTTAATCCAGAGTGCTTTTATAAAGTTTAGAAATCATCTCTGTAAACTGCCGTGTTTCTCGGGAATGGAAAGTACGGATCCTATTTGTAAAATTCCTCAACAGCTCTGAAAATAAAAAAAGCGTTTGGCAGAAAGAGCATGGCGTGCCCACCGTGCGTCTGTCTCACTCTCTCTTCCTCTGATCGTAAACATTCTCATTAGAATCCCCTTTGGTTAAAGGTTTCTCTCTCCGACACTGGCAGCTCATAAATCAGTTTGAACAGCCTGTGAAGAGCATCTGCTTCTCCCCTCAGAAGCTTTAATTCGGTTCTTTCCAGCAGTAATGGCGCAGTGAAAGGTAGATGCGCTGTTTTCATAGCTGACTGGGGGGTTAAACTCTGATTTTTTTTTTTCCATCGACCAAGAAGTAACTTGCAGTGGAATGTCTCCCAAAGCCCATTAAGTGTTAACATCTCGCTCTTCAAACAAGAGCATATTTTATGAAGTGGGGCAAGCGACAAAACTTGGCCTCCAGGGACACCTCAAGGATTTGAAGCACAACCTTAGATTTCTAAACTGAGTTCTGATGCGTGTGACAGGCAATTTTGTGCTGTAATTAAAAAAAGGCAATCTGTAATTCTGCTGGCAGCCAGCCCGATGCATTGTTAAATGCCTGTGCCACCATGTGCCTTTTTAACTGTGTGCACGCTGGTGTTGGAAGTGGAAGATTGCAGGTGTGTTGTGTTCGTGCAAGAAGAGAATTTCATTGTAGCTGAAGTCATCTGCAGAGCATGCGAGTGATAACTGCATTACATCATGGTCTGTTTGCACATTGCTAAGTAACCGAAGGCTGGAGAATTCGAGTCTATGAAATTACACATAAAGATCAGACATTTAAAATTACTTTTGCCCTCTTGGGTAAATCTTTTTATGAGCAGCCTGAGTGCGATTATTTGTTGCTGTCTAAAGTGACACTTGAGAAAGAAGAGAAGATGTCACTAGCCTTGTCCTGGTACCTAGGAAGGTTATTATTTGTGAGTGTTGTCAGCTTACTTGAATGCTGACAAACAAGCAAAACAGCCAACAGTCAAAAATTGGTATTTGTGAAAGCCATGGCTGTAATTTTAGCTCAATCTGAAAGAGGAAAGTAGCTTTTAAAATGGAAGAAGAGCCCGCAGTG